TGAGTACCACTCATGTCAATCAGCTTTAAAAGCTTCATTTACAGAGCTCTAGCTTCAAAAGCTTCATTTACAAAAGCTCTAGCTTCAAAAGCTTCATCTACAGAGCTCCAGCTTCAAAAGCTTCATTTACAAAAGCTTTTGCTTCAAAAGCTTCATCTACAGAGCTCCAGCTTTAAAAGCTTCATTTACAAAAGCTCTAGCTTCAAAAGCTTCATTTACAGAGCTTTAGCTTCAAAAGCTTCATTTACAAAAACTCTAGCTTCAAAAGCTTCATTTACAGAGTTTCAGCTTCAAAAGCTTCACTTGCAAAGCTTCACCTACAAAGCTTCAGTGAAAGGTATACAAATACCGCCTTTGAACAACCACCACTTCGGCTCATACATGGATTCAATTTGAAGTCTCCAGCCAACAGACTTTATTGACCGAAGACTTTGGGGACTACATTATGTACCATATATTAGGCCTCAACTAGGCCTCATGAAAAATACTTGGGGGACTTAGCACATTATTCATGTATTGAGGAGCGAGCCCTTATTCTATAAAAGGGATTCCCTCACTTTCATTAGAGAGCACCCATTATTCATGTACTGAGGAGCGAGCCCTTATTTTATAAAAGGGACTCCCTCACCTTCATTAGAGAGCAAACCCGCCAGCTGAGCAACCGCCTCGCCGCGAGCATCACTCCTAACCCATCACTTATGTATTGAGGAGCGAGCCCTTATTCTATAAAAGGGACTTCCTCACCACCATTGGAGAGCATCGCCGCCTATTGAGCAACCGCATCGCTGCGAGCATCAACTCTAGCCTATCATTTATGTATTGAGAAGCGAGCCCTTATTCTATAAAAGGGACTCCCTCACCTTTAACGCCACAAGCTGAGCCAACCAAGGCAACATAAGCCACGAGCCGAGCAGCCTCGCAGCGTGTGCTACTTCTAGTTGAGCATCATTTCAGATTGAGCACTGCCTCATATCGAACATCAGTTCAAGACAACATCTAGTTACTTCGGCCCACACATGGACTGAATTTCAAGTCTCCAGCCAAAAGACTCTCTTGACTGAAGACTTTGGGGACTACTGTTTATACCATATTTAGGGCCTCGTATTTAGATCTCGTACAAATACTCGAGGGACTTAAATGTAATTATGTGATAAAGAAAGGGGCAAATCTGTAATAAGTGAGGATTCCTTATTCTATAAAAGGACCCCTCACTTTCACAATGAGAGGGCATTTTCTGAGGCCAACTTTTAGGCCTGAAACCCTCTCACATCCCCTCTCATATTACAGAGGCTCTCTCCCTCACTTCTCAGAGAAATACAATACAATCAGTGTGGACATAGCCTAAACCTTGGGGTGAACCACGATACATCTTGTGTTATTTACATTACTTGCAGATTCACGGTCGAATTTACGTTGTTCCAAGACCTCTGATTTTGTGCATCAACATACTACAAAGAACATAAATTCGATAAAGTATGGTATTCCAAAATATTCTCAGTAAAACATGATAATCATAAAGTGTAAATCTAATTTACTCATAAAACGTTTCGTAAAACGTAACCATTAAATCATGTTTTTCATGTATGCATTTCTACTATTAAAACATGCATTTTAGAAGGGGTTCACTCATAGATATTTTGTCATCGAAGAGCCGTGCGAAATAGGAAGAACAAAATTGCCGCTAATAATCATACCTAAGCACATAAATGATCCAATTAATGAAACTATATCATAATGATTGAATTTTGGGAAACGGACGTCACCAACGGATGCAGGACGTCGAAAAACTTAAAAAGGGACCTCGGGTACCCCACATGTCGTCACATACGCCCTCACGCGCCACCGTGGGTCGCCGGAAAAGTCGTCATCAGCGCCGTTGTGGCAGGTGGCGCTGTGCTCTACGCACTGGCATCGGTAACCCTTCACGCTCACCTACGCGCTGGCCCACGCGCGGCTTGGGTTCTTAAGATCCTGTTGGGCTGGGGCGGATCCGTGTTTGGGCTTAGGCCAAAAGGTTTCTGGGCTTAAAAGGTTTGGGCCTTATGGGCCTAAGGTCAACGGGCCGAAGGCCCAAGTTTTCACAGCCCAAAGGCTTGAGGTCCAAAGGTCCGGCCTAGGGTTTTTGGGTTAAGGGTTTACTAGGTTGGGCTTAAGGTTAAATGGGCTGATGGCCCTAGTTGGCATGGACTGAAGGCCTAGCTTTAAGGGGTTTGGGTCGAGGGTTTAGTGGGCCAAAAGCCTGAGCTAGCGCGGCCCTAAGGGCCTAGGTTAAATGGGTTTGGGGTTTTAGGTTTTCCGGGTTTGGGTTGAAATGACCCAGTTCCATCGAGAATGAAGGTCGGAGCCTCCCGAGCACCGATCGACGCCGTCTCACAATTTTACCCTACGATACTCTTACTAAAATGAAGATATGAGGGAAAAGAAGAGATTCGTACCTGCGATACACCATGAAGTGGCCGAAGTCGACCGAATTCAGGGCTCGAATATCACGGGCTCGCAGACCTGGGTTCTCGATTGCTCTGTGCTTCATAGAGACCAGGGAGAGGAAGAGAAGATCTACCACGGTGATGGTGGTGCTGTCATGTTTCCTCGGGTGTGGGTGGGTGTGTCGCCGGGAAGGAGATAAGAGTGAAAGGGAGAATGTGAGCTGAGAGTTGACTCGGGGTAGAAGGAGAGAGAAAGGGAAAGAAAGGGGTGGGGGTCTGCCACGTGGCAGGCAGAGAGAGGAGAACTTGAGAGAAAATCTAATAAGGAAACCATATTTGGTAAGGATAGGGGACAAGATTATAATTTCATTATTTTCATTAAAACAAAATTACATCTTTTGGGACGAGGTTTTACATAAAATATATGAGGAAAATTAAAATGAAACTTAGTGTTTGGGAAGCATTCGTAAAAGTCCAAAGATTCAAACACATAGCAAACCTTTCTTCATCTCTTATTCTTTTAAGAAAAGACTATGGCAAGGAAAAGAGACCAAACTACTTTTGAAGCTCTTAGTTTTCTTTAAATTTTCTACCCAAGTTCAATTCTTCATGTCTTCTGTTTTTGTTTTTCAATTCACATTTTCCGTAATAGCTTTGTTTATTTGAAGTACTCTCGTTCAATGGTCGCTCATTTCCCTTTTTTTTAATTAATGTTTTACGGTATATTTACTTTCTGGGTCGTTTGGTTGGCTGGATGTGATTGAGCATTAGAAATGAAATTGGCAAGGACATGTAAGACAAGACTTGTAAGTTGTAACCATGTATAAGGATATGTTAGATAACTTATTCTAGTGTGGATTCATCATATTTGACACAACAAACAAAAGATGAACTCAAATCAATTTTAATTGATCACAACATATTCCAACCAGCCCACCAGACAAGCCCTATAATTGCAATTGATGGAGTGGAGAGGTCGATGAAAATATGTTTTTATAGGTGCATTTTCCATTATTTTCCCACAATGCAATTGTTTAATGCCAAAGAGGCAAAAGATAGTATGAAAGTGGTTACAGGCCACTTGACTGAACTGGCTACAAATTTAGTGTAACACCATGGTTATTGGCCCAAAGAAATAAAAATTGATTAATTTTCACTTAATGTGACTTCACTACTATTATTTATTCTTCCCAATGAACCCTTTTTTCTTCTTATAACTTGTTTCAAATAAGATTAATATGTCTTAATCTTCTTTGTAATTACAAGATTTTGGAGAAACAATTTGGTTAATTGGTTTGACAAACCTAAAGTTGCCAATGTACTAACTGATGATGCAGGTTTGTGCATTCAATCAAGGGGACACTTTGTCTATATATAGGAATACAAAATCATAGGTTTGAGAATATTAAATTTGGATTAGTGTACTAATGTTAGGTGAACCTACTTATTAGAACAAAAACCTTAAGCCAGCAAAGTGGGGCCATTAAGTAGTATCATCTCAAAGCTCAAGAGTGTGTTTGCACTTTAACTACAATGATAACATTCTCTTGATCTTCCCCTAATTAATCACACCACCTTTAGGGAGATGATAGATTTCAAAGCGAACTCATCATGTCAAACCCTAGCCCCTCGGGGATGTATATCCCAGTGAAACACCTTTTAGTTTTGTTAGCTAGGAGTATACTTCAGTATAAAGAATTAAAGCGGCTTAATTAAGTTGGTAAGTTTAATTTAATTAGTTATAAAATAAGAAACATGGTACATTAGGATGGATGATTTATTTATTTAATTTTGTTTTTGGTGATGACTCACAGTTGGACCAATGCATGTGATCCAATATTCTAATGGATATGATGTTAGGTTTCTATTCATGTGTTCTGGGTTAGAAACTTTTCCCACCCTTAAATTATTATAATAGTTTCGAAATATACCCCTCCTCCTAATAATAGTAAAAAAAATTATAAAAAAGGAACAGCTGGACCAACAATCTTGGTTAATAAGGAAAAAGATTAAACTAACCATGGGATTTCCAGAGGTGTAGGTGTTCTCCTTTACATGCCTTTGCATGTCAATCCAAATATCGTATATATAATAGAATAGGCACCATTTGTATCTAGAAGCAACTTCAGGCTAAAGTTTGTACATATATATAATTTCTTGTTTTTGAAAAATGGGACAACACCAAGAGTGCTTGAATCTTAGCTAAATCCATGAAAAATTGGTTAATTATTTAGATATTTGAATGCCAGAGTGTCCCAAAGTATCATCTTTTGTACTAAATGGAGGGGGAGGACAATAGTTAAACTTTTTACTTGAAGGTGGCATGAAATAATGCCCTATCGCTAAAGTTGTAAGCCGGGCCAAACGTCTTCATTGTTGAATTTGATAAGTAAATGAGGTAATTAACAATTCAAGAGGACTCAGATTTCAAGATTAATTTACCTCAATGTGGTGTATTCTATTATTGCCCCTCAGTAAAAACTACATTATCTTCATAAGATTAAAGTTGATTACTTAGATTAGCCCAGTAATTTATGCAACTGCAGTAATATTTTTAGTGAGATATCAGAGGAGAAATTTTTAATTATAACGGAAATATAAGTGGTACATCACATGTTTTAATAGAAGGGGTGAGAAATTTCATTTTTTAAATTATTAACTTTTTAACACATATATCTCATCATTTGTACAGTGACACGTAGTGTACCATTATGTGTACCGATCACATTGAAAAATCTCTCATATCATAAAGAGAGAGAGAGAGAGATTATATGATTAATGGTACTAATTTCTTTTTCTTGAAAAAAAAACAGGCTCAGTATATACACCATTGGTCACAGAAACATCTGAAAGGCCACCGTCATACCGTTGAAACAAAACATGATGTAGGGATTGATCAGTTTCTCATCATTCTGAGGGCCAAGGCTTGAAGCTCTCCCAAGTCACCATTATATGGTCTCTTTTTAGAACAACCTTGGTACGAGAACTCCTCTCTGCTGCTTTGAATCTCCTGCATATTCATGGCAATATCACTGTTGGGGTCCATGGAGTCCAGCGAGCTCCGAGGTGAAATAGGATTCACGTAGCTCGGATAACTTGGAATGCTTGTGACTGATCCATTCACATTCCCCTGCCACTGAGTACTCTCCATGTTCCTTGAATCAACGAGGTTTTGGTGAGCCAGTTGAGCCTTTACTTGCATCAATTGTGCTTGCAAACATGCCACCTACATATGAATTCTAACTTTTAGACAATGATATGAAAAGGGTTTGGTTACTTCAACCTAACAACAAAAGGGTTGGCTTATTTCAACCTAAAACCGAAAAGGGTTTGCTTATTTGAACCTAAAACCAAAAGGGGTTTGCTTATTTCAGCCTAAAAACAAAAGGGTTGGCTTAATTCAACCTAAAGAGAAAGCAGTTGCTTAATTCAACGGAAAATAGAAAAGGGTTATCTTAATTCAACAAAAAGAGGTAAGGATTTAGGAGTAAGCTAAGTTTCGAATTCCTCCAATGTAACAAAAAAAAACCAACAGTAAAAGGGTTGGCTAATTCAACCTCAAAATAAAAGGGTTAGCTTAGTATTCAACAGATAAAAGAGAAGGGTGAGTTTAATTAATCACCTGTTGTTGCAAGGAAAAAATGTGAGCCACGCATCCATAAACGGGGTCTCGAATTCTTGCTTGAGCTTCATAGGCAATTGTGACAACAGCTTCACAACGATCATGAGCAGGAACATGCAACAATAACTTGGACACATTGCTGGCGCCAAACACTTTGTGAATGGCAGCAAAACGAGCAGGTCCTTGCTCGGAGCAAAAATAAGGTGCAAATATGCAATCAGAAGCACACTTTCTCCTCAGAAACTTGCATGCCCCACAAGGAGACCCAGTGCCAGTCCCAGCGCTGCCAGCACCCCCAGAAGCCATTTTTGGTACAGACAAACAAAGAGATCCGAGAGAGAGAGAGAGTAAAAATTGGAGAAAAAAGAGAGAAAAAATAATGAGAATTTAGGCACACGAGCACACTAGGAAATGGTGATTAAGTTGGAGGAGGAAAGTGGGGCATTGAGAAACGTAAAGGGGGAGTCTTATAAGAAATGAACGGGGGACAAAGGAAGGTCTGTATGTAGGGTTCTAAGGGGACAATCATTAATGGTTTATGTAATATCGTGGGGACTACATTTTTTTTTAAGCCTTCATCTTATTTGTAACACAATTTTTTTTTTCTTTATATTTTTTCCGGTGTTGATGATTAATGGCTACTGAGTTTGATTAGTAAATTTTTAATGGCAAAGTTTGATTTTAGGGTTTGAATAAGTTTATATTTTCCGCCGAACGGCGCCGCACCTGGGAACTGCTGCAAATTGTCGTTTTGTGACATTGTGGTTCACTCACTGCTACTTGCCACAGCTCTTCTGGTATATTTTTCTACCGACAATTACTAATGATTCAGTTACCTTGAGCAATATAGTTTAAAAATAGGGTTTTATTATTCAATACGTACAATATTTATCTATTTAGTCAGTCATGTTGTTCAAGCTCAGCACTCCAATTCTCCAACTTGGTGAAGAAAATTGGTGCTGCGCTGCTTTGGTTTGGTTTTTCTGTTTGTAATTAGGATAACTTTGATCTCTGACGGTATATCATGCACGTCTCTATTTCACTCGTCACGTGATTAAAAACTTAATTAGTAAGACAGACATGAAAATACAACCCGTTGTGGTTAAGTTTTTCTGATTTGGTCGAGATTTTGGAAATTGGCCAGGTTGTCAGAAAATGATTAGGCAAGTGCTTTCTTGTAGCTGAAAATCTGAGCTTCAAGTCTATAATGAAGTGAGTGAGTGCAGTTGTGTTATCCTCGTGCGTTATGCAACACACCATTGATCACATCAGACAAAAAGGAAAATTAGTCAAAAGTGGTTTCAATAAGGCCATCGTTTTCACAAACCAAAATCTCACCCGACACAAATTAAATGCACTTGAACCACAAGAACTGCAAAATTTTGGGATTTTTTGACCGATCTAGTTGCTGCAGTCCAGATACTTTGCTAATTAGGGAAAAAAAACACTAGGTCAGTTAGCATCAACTAACAAGTAATTAACATCTCTTTAGAGATATATTTAGGAGATCCGGTTTTTTTCAAAGGACTGACGTGTAAAAAATGATTTTTTTGAGCTTAAGTTTCATATTTTGGCGCTTTAAAATCTTTTATCTTAGCAATTAATAAATATAAGACTGTAGACTCTAAAGTTTAAGCTTTCAATGGTGATTTCAATACCAACACTAGACAATCAAACTTGAAGAAAAATGAGTAAAAATGAGATTTTCTCAACATGTCCGTTTAGGGCAAAAACCCTAGTCTTGAACTAGTATGAGTCACTTACAAGACACAATTATCAACCTAAAATGGAACTTGGTCAATCCAAGTATATGACCCAATTTATGCCAAGGGAAAGTTCAATGAAGGAATGCATGGATATGAATCATAGAACAGGTGCTTCAGTGAGGTCGGAGTTACTTTGACCTGCCACCTCCTTTGGGTGCATATATAAAATGTTTTTGGTGCATGAGAAGAGGTTTCAACTCAAATGAATGAGAAGGGTCGTCATCCTAACAGAGGAAAATGGCTGTTTGCAGCAAAAGCTACACTCCCATGTCACAGATCCATGCTTCTGAGCTCAGCTTTCAGCTTCTGCTTCTGCATGCAGATCAGCTTACTGGACAAGCTCTTACCACCAAAGCACTTGAGCACATGAATGAATGGATGAACGATCGGTGGTATTTTAATATGAAAACATATGAATGTGAATGGACGATCGGTAGTATATTAATATGCAAAATGTATAATATATAAAGAAAAAATTCCTATCCATTCACACATGACGTTGGCAGCTTAGCTTAACATTCAGTTGGAGTCAAATTTTGGTCATCATCAAAGCACATGGCACACATGCAAAGATGCTCCCATATCGGTTACGATTTTTTCTTCTTTGGGTCGTAGTTTATTTCTTCTTACCCATATATAGCGTTTAGATTACCCAAAAAAAATATCTATATCTCATGAGTTCATTTTCTTTTTTAGTACAAGCGATATTCTATACTATTCTATAGTAATTGGCATATGAAGGGTTTGAACTTGGGATGTAGTGCGTTAAGAAAGAAGACCCTAACCGCTTGAGCAATCCACTACTTGCATGTGTTCATCTTCTTTATTTAGTATAGAGTTATCATTTAGAGCTTCAAATTTTAGGTTAAGTATCAAATTTTGGTCTTACAAACAAAAACCGAAGCGATTATCCAATCCAAGACTAGAGCCATAAAGTCTAAACTCTAAATGATGATTCTACACCTGAAACAATTAACCATGTCCATAGCTTCCAAAACCAATGAAACAATGTTGTGTGGAAAAGTTAGAACACATTACCTTTCTACCATTGTTGTGTACCATTGTCTGATTGCCAAGTTGACATATTGTCTGTTGGTAAGTCTTTCTCCAAAAGAAAACCAACTTACACCAAGTTGTAGTCCAATTGGGGATGGTTTAACGTTTACGTTTTGAAGCAGTCCATCTTTCTTCTAATTTTTCCTTTTGGTCCCAGTCCAGTTATTTTTTGGTCTGATACCCCAGCCCAGTTAGATGCTCCAGTTGCCTGCTGGATTGGAACATGTCCATCTAGCGTCTTAATATTGGACCAAGACACCACTATGACAGTAAATCTGTTCCACGTAAGTTGGTCTCAAACACAAGGCATTTTTTGCTATAGAAAGATTGTGGATATTGTGGGGAAAGAAGGCAGAACGATGACATCCTCATTGATAACATATAGCAAGAGTGAACAAAATGCCCGAAGAGGATTTGATTCCATTGCATAAAAACACTCTTTACAATGCCGGAAGCAAAAGTTCAAAGATCTCACACAAATCCCCAATAGACCTTACCGCTATAAACATCCAACATCCGATAGCGGAACATCGTGTGAGTTTCTTAGCGAACCACTACCTGACTGTACACTGCAGCCAAAATACTGAACATCAATACATCCCCCTCACCTCTTGTGATGAAACCTCACCTTCAACAGGTATTGCATCTTCACCTGTCCACATGTCATCGCCCAGTAAAGTTACTATGTTCCTAAAAACTGTAAGGGATGTGATATCCACACACCCCATTTTACTTCTCACACACCTTTTTAATTTTTGGCCATCGGATCAGATGAATTGAAGAAGATCAACAGATAGAAATTATCAAGGGGTATGTGAGAAGTAAAATGGAATGTGTGGATAGCACACCCCAGACTGTAAAACTACTTCTATACTATTTATTTAAATCAGCACAATTAAACAAGTGAAAATAGTATCAAAAGTGGCACGTGCCAGAGATAACAAAAACAAAGCTTAGAACTTACTTGAGCTGTATCATAAACGATGTACTCGTTATACATGAGCTCAGAAGCTTTGACATTTGATGGCACTGGTTTGCCACAAGGCACGATGACATCGTCCTTCCATTTTACATACTCCGACTCCTGAGGTATTTTCTTGCCAAGCCCCATTGTAGAGTGCTTTCCCTTTGGAGGTTTGTCCATATACTGAAAGATAGTGGCATAAACACTAAGTTAATGGGCAAAACTCAAACCAGAAATGGCTATTTTTTTGCTCCACACGCCAAAATTAGAAATTTTTAGGATGCACAAGAACCCCCACACACTACTGCTTAAGTTATACATGGCAAGTATATACCACAGGCTCAAATGAGTGGACGCACAATGTCAAATTTCAGATAGAATATCAAAACACACAATCAAAGCACATAAGAAGATAATGGAAAATATCCTCACTGCAGCCTTCTTGAGCTCGTAGACCTCCCCCAATGCAACTTCACTTAAAAGCATGAGGCCAACAGGATTTTTCTTATCTGTATAGCAATACTGTGCACTCTTGCTGACAAGGTCAGCAAAGTAAATTCCCTTGCCAAACTGTAATGCAAAATGTTTACACTCTTAGTCTTGCAGAAAAAAAAATAATACACTACTGCTATGCACACAAAGAGATGCGTAATACATATATAGACATAAATGTGCAAGAGAGAGAGAGAGAGAGACCATATAACCAGTAGCTGGAGCTTCAGGAGGAGCTATTCTCAGTCCTTGGCTAAGTATACCCACGAAATTTGTAAACCGAGAACCTGGGAGGATAAAGTAATCAGTTTTATTCCTAATGTTGATTATAGGTCTGATATTACATTTAAAAGCACATTTCTATCAACCTTGGCAAGAGAAAGATTGCAAGCAACTATAGGCGATCCCATCTCACAAGACAAATTTTATTAAATTAAAGTTTATAGGTAGTGCAACTTACCATGCCAAAGAAGCATTTTGTTCTTAAGCTTTTTCCGATAGGGAGCAAATTTATTGAATTCGCCTTCCCTTTCAAGTGCAAAAACTTCTTCGAGTTCAAGACTCCAATCCTGATCATATAATAAGATGCCAGACACAAGATTTAGGGAATAAATCAACATTAAATATTGAGTATATAAAGATAGGTCACCAGCACAGTATGCTCAGTACTCGAGAGTATCACGATGGAAACCCACCGTATGTGTAGGGGCATGAGTAGTAAGAAGATATTTTTCAATCAACTGATAATCTTCACTATCATGAGGGATTGGATCAATATCACACCGGAGCTTCTTATACTTCTCATCAAGGGAATCATCACTATCAGCATCAAAACCAACTAATCTGGAAGCAATTTCAATGTCCTGGAGAGCTTCTAACATTTTCACCTGCCAAGGATACATGAAGGCACATTTTATTGCTTGTAACTATGCGAACTTGCCAATATCAGTTGCAATGTGAACATAGCAGCAGTAACTCCACTTTCCCACCACTTACATGAACTTTTTTCTTTTTCCATGAGTTCATCTTTTAACATATGATAAGTAATGAAACCTTAAATATATTATTCATACCAAAATCACATATTTTGAAGTAAATAACTTATCAAAATAATCAGGGTTATAAAGATAAATTTGTACTACGAAACATTTAATATTAAAGTGCTATCATAAAAATTAATATAAGCAACCCATCAAGGAAGAGATTGGTATCATCAACCAAAAAAATTCAATGACATCATTTAAATACATGCATATGAAATATAGGAGCAGAAAAACCATCTTTTTGATATGGGAAAGGCATGAAGGAAACCACTGGGTTGAGCATATGCAAAACATCCTTATGTACCTTTGACTTAAAATCATCCTCATCCCTGATAACCCGTGGGTGTATGGAAGGGATCACAGTGAAAAAACGGTTGCTTGCATCTATAATCAAGCTTTCTTTTGTGGAAGGAGCATGACCATTATTATTCAATAAATTCTGTATTTCCGTTAATGCCTCAAACCCTGAACAGAGAGAACAGGAAATGACGAAGTTAAATGACAATACTTTATTATCCAAACAGCTAGAAATTAAATTTGAATATAGAACAGTTTATATTTGAGCTCTGCAGAAAATTGAAGAGATTCTCTTTTCAATGTTTACCCTTTTGGATGTTGGCTTTACTCAGTTTTCCAAGCGGCATTTCTGACATATTTATCTCAAATTCCATCATGGCAGCTCTGCAAAACTTAGTACTCAGTCTCAGAGTTACAGATAAATAAAAAGACGGGAGTGGGGGAGAGACAAACATTTAAAGAAATGAACTTGTTTAACCTGTATGTTTCAACATTGAAAAGCATCTTCATCAATTCTGCTAACTGAGGAGCCAATTTGCTGCCTGCATTGTTCTGGTTTTTCTTGGAAACCTGTTTATTAACTCCATAATCCTGAAAAATCCAAGTTTTAGTCAGATATTAATTTAAGAACAAAAAAAAGAGTTCAGAAAAATATAAAAGAAAGAAAAGAACAAGAAGTACAATATCCAATGGAAAGAATCTTCCAGCTTGCTTCTGAAAATTTTGTTTTTGCTCCCATGCTTCCCACGGATTCCCAGTCTTCTCAAGGAACAAACGTTTAAATTCATGGATCGCATCTGATTTCGACATATCTTCCAGTTTGCTTCCTCCAATTTTATCATTCCCCACTCTTCCCCATTTACGGAACACATGGCAGTCTGAACTCTTATCATCTTGTACAATTTGGAGAATGTAGTAACTTTACATAGAAAAGAGAGACAGCAAGAGAGGGTTATAAAGAAGAATTTATATCGCATATTGTGAATTTTTATTGAGAGATAATAGGCTCAAATATGTGAGCAAGAAAGATAGAATAAACCGAACACACCTGTTAACACCAGTTGACAAATCAGACATGCTTAAAGTTGTGTTGTAGATGCTCTTCCCATCCTCAAGAATATGTCCTGTATCTTGCAGACCAGAAGATTCATGAACAGCACTTCGACCTTTCACTTTGACAGTGATCATGCTAGAGGATTCACGGAGAGCTTCGACTTTGTAAATATCAAATGGAAGCTTCTTCTGTCTTTTAAAGCAATCAACCAGATAGTCTTCCCTAACGATTGGTAACTTCATCCTCCTGAAAACATAACCTAACCCAGTTAGATAAAAAGGAACCAATATAGAAATATACCCAAGAGTCAAGACCAGCAATTTAATAGCAGCTTAACCTTGCTTTTCTCATCTCAGCATCATCATCAAATGCCCCACTCACAACTAAGCAATTAGTATCTGCACTTTAATTTGTTAAGCAAGAATAACTATAGTTATGCATCTTTTACCAATACAGCCGTAACCCAAAGAAAGCACTAAATCAAAATTATAAGCACATGCCTTTTTTGATCTTTGAATGAAATACTCCAGCTACACCCTCAATTTTTCTACACCATTCTTCCTGCAATATCACCCTCGATGAGATAGATAGACAGAACTGACACTAAGGAAAAAAGATAATTCCACAGATAATAAGAACTAAATGCAAATTAAAATGAACAAAAAAGACCATACTGTTGATTCTTTTGGTAATCCACGAAAAACAACTTTTAAATCCGCCAAGCTTGTACTGTTAGATGACTGAGATTGGCCTTGACTTCCAGAAGGCTTGCTAGGTGTTAATGGAGGCAGTATCCGCACAGGTTTTGCAAGCTTTTGTGATTTAAACCACTGCAAATAAAATAAATAAATAAAACTCAATTCATAACTTGTCTACCAAAACCAACATGAAATTAACCATAGTTGATTACCTTATTAAGATAATGATTATCCTTATCTTTTGAGATTTTCCACTTCCCTTCAAGACGTTCAGGTTCCTGAGTAGAGTAAGAACACTTACTCCATGCCGATAGGTAGCCTTGGCACCGGTACATACCTCCAGAATATCGAAGAAAACCAGAGCAGAGTGGGCAGTTCTTAAGTGCTCCAAACATCATTCCATCAGCACTAAATAAGTATAGCAATAAAAAATATCATCTTCAAGTAAATCAGATTAAAAAATAAAAATAAAAATAAAATGTTCCACTTAGAGATGATGATTACCCAATAACAATTAACACATATATTTATGCATAGCTGGTTACGTCTAGGAAACAGAAAAAAGGTCTACATTATGGAAACAAATACAACAACCACAACAAAGCCTTATCCCACTAAGTGGGGTCAAAAACAAATCAGGCAACAAAATCTAACAAGCCTAT